TTTGAGTTACAATAGCAACTTAACTCGAAAAAAAAAGGAAAATATTCGAGACGAAAATCTAACATAAGCGCAATATAAACGAAACGAACTTTCAAACGACAAAAAAAGGGGTAATGACATACATTTAAATAATTAAGAAATTATAGTATAGGTGAACTATGTGCGTTTAGCTGGTTATATAATCTATTGCAAGTGCAACGTAGCTAGGCCAAAGACCAGATCATGATGGATAAAATAGAACGATAAAATTGCTATGTAATGATGAACTTAAACCAATCGTTATCTATGCAAGCTATAAACCATTTCACGCGTTTACTAATTCGCTTCCTTGTTGGCATATCTGACTGTCTGTCTATCAACTGGGTTACTTCAAATTGTTGAGCAACAATTCCGTATTTTGTATTGAAAGAACAGTAACCAGAAAAGGTAACACCAGTTAGGTACTGTTCTCAGCAAAACAAACAGACCAGAATATGACTAGACTATTTTTGTTCTTAAGAAACTTGGCTGCAAAAAAAGCGTGGAAGTTTCTTTTACATCGCGGCATCTATTTAGGCAGAAGCCTGAGGACCGGGGCACCACGCCTGCTATAAGGAGCTTCAAGACACCTTCTTGGTGCGATTTTTGAACTGCTTAAAGTTAGTGGAATTGAGAAAAGCCTCCTCAGGCGCAAGCTCCGTTGACATAGCAGTAAAAGATCCAGCTTAATAGCAGAGACAGGCGTAGTACACTGAATTCCTGCATGTAGAGCGGTGCCATCAGCAAAGCTGTAGATCGGATTGAAACTAACGTATTTCACGAATTAAGTCTAGCCAGATCAGTTAGTTAAAACTCGTAATTTTGCATTGAATTGGATAAGCTTCCACAATAGAATGGAAACATGTGTTTTTCCTTCTATTGTTCAATAAATCAGAATCAAACGCAATCAGTGGTCACCGTGGAATTAAAAGTAAAAAAAAATTAGGCATTTCAAAATTCGAAAATTTTATGATTCCACCACATTACTTCCCATAATTCTGAATTAGCAATTATGGTCAGTAAAATAAGTATAAAACGTTACATTGTTATGTATTTTTAATGACTCGTTTAGCTCATTTGTCTTGTTCCCCGAAGGCTGTCGCACTTTTTAATCTGTTGTCGATAACTCCCGAGCTAATTATCTTGTAAATACAGGAAGTATCTTTGAAACGTGCGCTCATCTGCTTCAATTTTGTATAGTCGTACCTCGAGAAATGGTATGTTTTGGAATACGAGCTACCGAATCATTTGAGACTACACGGATAGTCTACGAATATACAGCGCTTTCCAGAGTCATAATCTCCTTTTTTTTGGAACAGGTTACGTCAGCAAGCTGGAGTTCGGGAATATGAAATCAATACTATATTCTACGGTAAAAGTGATACTTGAAAACTGGACTGGGGGGGCCATATGATACATACAGGGTGGCGTATCGAAATCGAAACAGACGCATTTACTGGCAGCTCAGTTTTTTTTTTTGGAAAAACGCTCAGACCCGTCGATTTTGTTTTCGAGGGGGACACAAGTTCGGCAAAAATCACGTTAACACGTGCAGTCCCCTAAGCGGGGGTGACACCAACACTAAAATCTTAAATAGGGAGGGGGGTCGAGTGATACCTTATTTTAAAGGTCTTTAAATTCCCTTTATAATGATGTAAAATACATGAGCTTCAGTTCAGTAGTTTTGAAGATTTATTGATTTAAAGCTTAAAGTATACCTTAATATGTTCATCAGATTAGTTTGTACTACTTTCAGAAGAAATTTGACTAAAAGAATTTACTTAATAAGTAAATGCTTTTCTTCACTATGCCCATGGTTTGTTTATCATTTTGTTGTTGAAAATAGCTATTGGAGCGTTTTTTTGTGACAAAAAAGATATTTCTTGAAGGAAGATAAGGAAATATCTCGTACTTATTTTAAATAGGAATTTAGTACATAGTTTGCGATAAATCTTCAAAATTACTGAACTGAAGTACATTAATTTTATATAATTATAAAGGGAATTGAAATACCTTTAAAATAAGGTATAATTCGACCCCCTTTCCATTTAAGATTTTGGGGGTGGTGTGCTAACGTGATCTTTTGCCAAACTTGTGTCCCCCTCGAAAACAAAATCGACGGGTCTGAGCGTTTTTCAAAAAAAACTGAGCTCCCAGTAAATGCGTCTGTTTCGTTTTCGATGCGCCACCCTGTATATAAAATTACAATTTTCTCAAAATACGATCTATCTAAAGTAATTTGCTTGTTGCTTTTATTACAATACATACGTTTTTTACCATGATATGACTATTTATTATGTTCACAACGGTTTAACATTCTTTTCAGGTGACATGATGATGGATTTTTACTTCTAGCATCATTAGCTATCACCATGCCAAATTTCCGCCTGACATTTTTCCCGAGTATTCGATAAATATACTCAGTGACATCACAAGTGTCATACCCAGAAAAAATAATTTCTTCAACTTGTTTTTTTTTGCAACAAAATGGTTTTATTTAAAGCATGCTCTGACTCAATGTCTACATTTTATCTTTGTTTTTGTTTACCTTTAAAAATTGTTTTTCTTATTATTTGTCAAGAAAATTTCATGAGACTGTTATCGCTTCTTATTTGGTGTAAAACTACCTCATTGCCAGAAAGTCAAGTTGAAGAGATTCTTTTTTCTGGGTGTAACACTCCTAATGTCACTGAGTCACTATATTTCTTTTGTTGGATACAGTGCATACAACTACCGAAATTACTTTCATATATCCATCTCCATCATACATATGAATACAATGTAATCTGCCTCTAGCGAGGAAGCTTGTTTTTGTAGCCTCACAGACATATTTTTTATTTTTGGCTTGAAAATTTTCTCGATAATGTATGAGTCTCCGACATTTACGAATGTCACTGTCGGTTGGTAACTTGTTCATCGTGAGCATGCGATTTGAGTTTATCTTTGACGATCTTCAGTATAAAACATAGCAGTGCCTGAGGATACAGTTAGAATATCGGCAGCATCTGATGAAAGTGAACGAAAGCGACAGTCCTCTATTACACAGCTCTTCTGCGTGTACAAGAGCGAGTAGCAGATGCGTTGCGGATCGGCTTGTGCAGTGTGCAATTTTTCTTAAACAGGTTAAGTTCTGTCATGGTATAGCTAGTCATTCTGTTTACTTATTGCGTATCAAATTGTGCAAAAGTGCCATAGTTCTGAGTATAATATGATAGCTGCTAGCCACAAAACCATTATATCGCTAAATTGCGTACAAGACACATTTTTGTAAATAATATGAATGATCGATAATTATATAGTATATTCGATAATTCCACGGCTCATAACAAACGCACCACAACACCTCAATAATAATAAAGTAAATCATTTATCTGATAGGTTATTGGAAATATGAAACGTTAAAATATTGCAGGAATTTCCTAATACTTGTACTTAATATAAACAGAGATGAGGATACACAACAAACTACCTTCTGCAATCGCTGTTTGCTTTCTGTTATCTATCTTCGACGAGACTTATAACACACTGATAACTGTTAACAAGCATGAAATAACGTTGCAGACAGATCCTATTCAGTGCGTGCTTTCTGTAAGCAACGTTCACGTAGTACGACACAGCTAGTAGCATGGTGAACACGTTGTGCTCCCTTGATCGACAAGTCGTTTCTAAGATGCCGTAAAGCATATGAGGTCCCTGCTTCACCGACGTAGGAGTCGGGGGTACCGTTTTTGGTGAATTACTCATTGAATTTTACTCTTTTAAAGAAGCCGATTGCAAATTTCAAAATGTTTGCGACTACAATACTTCCCTCCCAATTAAAATGAGAAGTAAAAACTAAGATTCCATCCAGCAACTTGTATTGACTCTCGTACATAGGAGGTTTGTTTATTAAGTGAAGAGATTGATTTTTTTTAAAACATCTATTGAAATACAGGGTGGTCCATAAGTCCTTTGAAATTTCAAATTTGAATAAAATTTAACGGGTGAGCGTGAGCGGCGCGGGCGAGATGGGGGCAGTATCTTCAGTGTCTGGGAATTCAGTCGCCATGGAGTGTTTCACTGGAGCGGATCGTGCTTTTTGTGTGCGCGCGTTTTATCAAAATAATGATTCGGCAACCATTGCGCGGCGTAAATATCGAGAATACCACAATTTACACAATTTTACAAAGTGTCCAACAGCTCAAACGATTAAGAACTGGGTTGCTAAGTTCGAAGAGACTGGTTCGACGTTAGATAAACAGCGGTGGGGTCGACCAAGGACAACTCGTATTGAAGAAAACATCAACATTGTGGCACAGTCTGTTCGTCAAAATCCTACCCAGTCTACTCGTAAGCGTTCCAGTGCACTAAACGTACCCAGAACATCTTTACAGCGAATTTTAAGGAAAGATTTACGTCTGCACGCTTACAAAATTCAGTTAGTGCAGGAATTAAAAGATAATGACGCTATTCAGAGACTAAACTTTGCGAATGAAATGTTGAATCGATTTTCTTCTCTCAATAATGTGTTGTTCTCGGACGAGGCTCACTTCCATTTAAACGGGCATGTAAATAAACAAAATTGCTGTTATTGGAGCCCCGAAAATCCAAGGCGTAAGCATCAGAAGCCCTTACACAGCCCTAAAGTTACAATTTGGGCTGCTATGTCAGCGCATGGCATCGTAGGCCCTTATTTTTTTGAGGACGACAGAGGTCGCGCATTAACTGTTACTTCGGAGCGGTATGTAGCAATGATAGAAGAGTTTTTGACACCAGCGTTGCAGAATTTTCCAGGCTATAATACGCAGACCTGGTTTCAACAGGACGGAGCAACTGTCCACACCTCCAACACTTCTATGCCCGTCGTCTGTCAACTTTTTCCCAGCAAAGTAATTTCTCGAAGAGGAGACATTTCCTGGCCACCACGTAGTCCAGATTTGACCCCAATGGACTTCTTTTTATGGGGCTACCTCAAGAGTAAAGTGTACGACACCACTCCGCGATCAGTTGATGTCCTGAAAGAAAATATCCGAAGAGAAATGGCAAGCATTACAGTGTTGACTTGCCGCGCAGTCATCGACAATTTTAGACGTCGTTTATATGAGTGCCGTGACCGTAATGGATTGCATTTAGACGATGTGATTTTTAAAACATAATTCCCATTCAATAAAGATGATAACAAAATATAATAATTCTTCATAATGTAACTAGTTTGGTTTTATTCCTTTTTTTCCAGCTCAAAGGACTTATGGGCCACCCTGTATAATAATTACAATTTGTCTGTCTCCCCGAACGCTACGTCGCCAGTCTCATTACTTAATTTACAGACCTCGTAGGGAAGCTTTGTACCTCAACCTTGCAAACTACTCTCATAAGACATCTGATTAACCTCTGATGAATAATTAATGTAGCCACCTATTAAAAGAAGTACAAAATAGTAAAATACTATGTCGACTATCTCGACATTATGACGTATAATTCAAATACGATTTGCATATCCGTTGACACATGCAGCAGAGGTAAAAGTTATAAAACGTTACTACTATTTCTTGGCCACAATCCACTAAATCAAGATTATATCTTCCTTCCTTGACATTTGGAAATATGTGGCGTGCACTCAGCAGCTGACTGTGTTTACCTTATATTAAGCTCATCGCCGGTGTCTCAATGTCGTTGTTAAAAATTAAAAGCAGCCGACGTCGAATAAACGATAATTATTAACGCGATCACATTCAAGACGTGGTGTTGATGTTCAGCTGTTTACTTCCCGTGCAGTTTCTAGACTACGGTCTGACCTTTACGTCAATTTTTTGGGCGATGTTGAAGCGCCTTCAACTTCAAATGTAGGTTTAAAGTATCGAGCATGGCCTAATGCGAATCATTTCGGCTGGTCGGAGTCCAGATCACCGATAAAAAGCTAGTTTATTTGTTTTGGGCTAAGAAGTACAACCTCTTCACTCTGTATAATGCCCAGATAAGACCTAGCCTCAAGTCTTGCTCACATGTGTAAAGTTCTGCCGCCCCTACTACACTGTCCATACTCGATGCTGTTCAACTGATCAATAACACCTGTCTAATGGACAGTCTCGGGACCCTTCAATAAAGAAAGTAAGTGCCTTTATTTGCAGCTCTAAGGCCCAATTTCACCAACATTAATATTATGGACCAATGGGAAAATACCTTATCGAAATGCAATTTGACAGAAGCTGTCAAAGGTCTCTGAATATTAGTGATTTCTATTGAAACATTGAATAAAATCGTGAAAATTCGACTGTATTATAAACAAGACCACTTTTTGATTCCAACATGATGCTTTTGTACAGAAAAAACAGGACAACTTTCATGTATTTTGATATATGCTATAGGTTAACATTTAACAATCCGTTATTCCCCTCAGCGAATGGGAATGCGGCAAATAATAGGTCGATTTTCTAGCTGTTAAATTTGGCAGCAGATTTGGACGTTTGTTAATGCATGGCACTCTCGAATTTACCAGATTCAATATACTGAAAGTTGTCATTACATACCTGTTGAATAGTGTGGATTTGTCTGTGTTTTGCAAGAAAATAGAATATAAAATACATTCCATCCAATTCCTCATCTTCCTTTACAGTCAAATGGCAGTCACTCTTTCTGACACAGTCCGGATCGAAAGATGACGATATTCATGAAATGTATTGATGCTTCTAAATATAGGATCGTATCGAATATCCCTACTGTTAAGATGTATAACCCAAGGTACCGACGGAGCTATTTTGCGGCGTCATGGAAATGATTTTAAATTTTCATTTGCATTTTTTCAAGTGTTGTGCAATGATTTTGGGGAAAATGTCACGAATAGTCTTATAAAGCATAGTAGAGTATATTTCAACAGTTGGCGGAACTTACTCCACCGGGACCAGGAGGGTGAAACGGGATATTAATGCACAATCCGGCAACCCTGTCGCACCCTCACAAAATGGCCGCTGATAATCACGCAACTCACCGTGTTGTCATTGAATAACATGGAATTAAACCTTGTGACTGGTACCAAGAGTTGACAGATCCCACACATGTGTCACTCCTTGAAATGCAATAATCAGCTGTATTCAAATAATGTCTAATATAAATATAATCTAGAATGTGTACTCGTGAAAAAAGAAAAATGTGGCACATTTGTAGTTTTTTGCAGGTTTTAGGTGTGCTGTAGCTTTAAGGCATATATTTGGGAATTTCTTAATCGCTGTGAATATAGTGTGGATGTCTGTTCAGTTCCTGAACAACGAAAAATATTCAACTTTATGGATGTATGGATATCAAAAAACCTGAATGGTTTGTGGGAATATCAATCTGAGGTGCTATAATGGTTCTGATGAAAGGCAAGTAAATGAATGAATGTTTGGAAATGAGCAATATCTTTTGGTAGAGCCTGTCAGCAAGTAGGTGCTTAATGGCTATCTGCAAGAGGTTTATAGGAAAAAACACCCAGTATCGCATATCAATTGAGGAAAATAATATAAACATGAATAAAAAATCAACAATAGTAATTAAAACATGAATTTTATTCAAAATTCCAACATTTCTTTAAATTTTGACTGAATTATATGTAATTTCTTAATATTCAATAAGCTGGTGATGTTTCAATGACAAGCTGTCATCTCATACTTTGACAGTATTTTGTTTTCATAGCTATTGGTTGCTAAAATTTGTTGATTGGAACTTGAAGCTCATTCGTTGTATTTGACGGTCTGTTACCCTATAGGTGGAGAATAACGGACTGTTGTTGGTGAAATTGGCCCTAAAGGAACTTTAGTTTGAAAAGCTACAAGCGCATGTGCAATCATCAAGTCTTAAGTTATTCAGAACCTTTCGACTTGTCTATTGTTCCAACAAATAGTAGCTATGCTCTCTTCGCAGTGGTCGATTCTGGTGATAGATGGCGCTTTGCGCTGTCTTATCTCGATAGACCGCACCTCCCTTTCGAGAGACGAGAGACCAAGTCTAGACCCTGCTGACGAGTAGCCAAAACGCACGAAACAGCTGTCTATGGTTGACTGTCTTTTGGACAGCATTATGTTTAGTTTTTACACAGGAGTGCCACCGACGAGCGCGTAAACAAATTGAAAAGTAATAACACATTGTTAATGGTGATTTCCGAAAAAGCCTTGAAGCTATTTTGATAGTAAGCTGTATCACGTATAATTTATTATCGAAGGTTTGATAACGGAAATGGAAATTCCATCGATTTTGATCGACAGTGAAATCTAAAAAAAGCGAGTTGACAAAAAACGGCTGTGCAGCTATTGACAAGATTTGTTCGCGCCAGAAACCAGCCGAAATGAATGAGCGCTAGGACACTTTTTGTTCGTCAAAGTACAGTACTGTGTTTTGGAAGCATTGAACTGTACAAGATTGTTGCGTCCCCAAGCAGAGATAGAATCCAGGTCTCTTGTCAGAGAGGAAGTCATCGCTAGTCTTCTTTTTTCCAGCTCAGCGGCAGAAATCGACTTGTCACTATGAATTCCGGCATGTAGAGTGCTGTCATCAGCGAAGCTGTGGATTGGGTTGATCGTGCAGGAAAGGAGGTCGCTGATATATAAGAGAACCAGTGTTGGAGCCAAGACCGATCCCTGGGGAACACCCGCGTTGACGTTGTGGGATGAAGAGGAGAACTCGTCAATTACGATGGATATCTTGCGGCCAGAGATAACGCCAGCTACCCATCTGCAAAACTTTTCTGGGAGACCATAGGATGGAAGTTTGCTCAAGAGGGCAGCGTGCCACAGCTGATCGAACGCTTTCGTGATGTCAAGAGCAACGACATGAGCCTCACCATGAGACTGGATGAGTTTACTCCACAGTTGCGTGACGTAAGCTAGGAGGTCCCCTGTGGATCGTTGGTGCCGGAAACCGTACTGCCTGTCGCTAATCAAGCTGTGACATTCGAGGTAGTCCAGAAGCTCGCGATTTATGCACTTCTCCATCACCTTACTTATAACAAAAAGCAGAGCTTGTAGTTGTGTTGTAAGGGTCGATCTTAGATCCTGTTTTGGGATGGTTGGACATGAGCAAATTTCCAATTTTCTAGGAAGGTGCCGGATTCATAAGATACCGGGAAGAGACGCGAAAGAACTGGAGCAAGCTATGCTGCACACCTCTTCAGTACAATGGCAGGAATCAAGTCCGGACCAGAAGCTTTGTTGATGTCGAGCGACAAGAGCACTCGGCTTACGGTCTTATGCTGAATGTTACCTCCCGCATAGTGTAGGGAACCCTTTCAATTGACGGCACTTGGGCGATGGGGGGAGTTCCATGGTGGAGTTGGCAGCAAAGATCTTGGCTAGCACTTCCGCCTTGCCCTATTAGTCTAATACAATAGTTCCATCCTCACACGTGAGTGGTGGAAGAAGTTCTTTTTAATCTGCTTGTCACGCCCACTGCCAAGGTCTGCCAGTCGGTCTGTCTAGAGAGTACCGCTTGGATATTTATGAAATTTTCAGTTGAGGTTACTCATATGCCAATGACCTTCGCAGCTTTTGAAGCTCCCTTGAATAACGATGGAGAACTAAGCGCAAAAACACGAAAAAGGCCGACAACGAAAAAAATAATAACTCGTTCAAACTTTGATTTTTGACGTTTCAGAGGTTCCTGATTATTTTCGAACATTTTGTTTTGTAAAACATTGAGGAGTCGGGGTTTTAGGGGTTGGGGGAAGGCGTATCGCAATTTCTTTATTATCCCGTACATTTGTCCTTCAAACTGTTTTTTACAAGCGTACCGGTGTTCGTATGTGTTCTGCATGACCGGTGCTCTTTGGGCGCTCCGCCACGTGTGATTCCTCGCGCTTCCAGATATCGAGGAAAGGCGACGCGACGTTGCCAGATGGACGGCATTACGGGTGTGGCAGGGTAAGGATGTTATGTTTCTCTGTTGTACATGTTCGTAACTAACCTTTTAAGTTAAATATGTTGCTTTCGTCTATTCAACCAAACACATCCAACCACAGACACTTGTTTCGTGATTTTTTTGCAACTCATCAGCATGGCCTAGGCCTGGTCTCTGGGACAACCGACTAAATCATTGCAACAACCGTATATCCAGGTCTATGACGCTGTCTTATTTCGATAAAGTCTAACCTATACCGAACAATCTTTTATGATCTGATGACAGCATTGCGCGGGAAATGCAGAGTCAGCTTACTTTGACATAATGCTTTTGGGTCACGAACAAGGAACATTCAGTTCTGCTGCATATGAAATTCCTTTTGCTATGCCTAAGTGCTTTGTTACTCTCTTGATTTATTAAGTAGGTGACTTCCTCCACTCAGGGAAGTTCAATCGAAAATAATACATTTTGGAGTTTCTACTTTCTCCTCCCCCTTTTCAACAAGGAGCTTGATACACTTATCCTTCGTCAAAAATTGTATCGCTTTTCGTAACTCTCTTCGTACCAAATCAAGTCTTCCATTGTATTCAAGCCTGTGAGTCTCCTAGCATCTTCCAACGTTTTATTATTCACCTTGTCCTCTCCTACAACAGCAGCAACTTGTTTTTCCTTATTTTGTAGTCCTGAAATTGTAAGAGTGCATGCATACACGTTATTATAATCATAAGGCAGTTACCTCTAGTATTCTTACAACATCGAAGCATTTCATCGTTGATTCGAGTAGGTACCAGCCAGTGTTTTTGTGACTATGTTGCTTTAGGTCGATAAATCTGTTATTTGCGCTCGCTCCTTGGAAAACGTTATTTTAACTGCAAGCATTGGCACTTACTGGTCGTTTGTAAGAAAATATTTTATACGTTTTTATAGAATACTCCTGTTATTTATTAACAAGTCAATAATAGCATCCCAAACTACCTGAGCCTGCTCGGTTCCTGGACGGTTATTCAATTTGGGCAAAGCGTTAAGTTGCTCAATATTTTTTTAGACTTGCGTACATTTAAAGGTGGCAACAAGTGACAGTATCCGGTATTTGGCTTTGGATATCGGCACGAATTCTTTGAATGAAGGACTTGCTTATAGAGATCTCGTCAATGTTGTGTGCTTCCATAATAAAAACCGCGTGGCACCTCTCTAATGCTGCTACTGATTTTGGAGATATGAAACTTTTCCTCGTATGAGTTTGATTAGTATCAGGCCCTGGTTCGTAAGATGATGTAGAAGGAGTTAAAAAAGTTCACCGCTTTGTCGGTGTTCCTTCTTTTATGACTAATTTCTTGTCCACACCAGCTAAACGACGAGGTCTACCTTGCTCTTGGCACGTTAAACTTAATTTACAATTGATTTGACATTGCTCAAGCAAAATTAGAGGGAAAATTATAATCAAACAATTAAAAAAATGAGATGTTCATTGGTATGTCATATGACATTTACATCACAAAAAACCATGTACCGCTAAGATTTTGAGGAAATTTTCAAACAAGGTTAATGCTACGCTAAGGACGAAAAAGCTTTGTAGTTTTTGAAAATCGGTGGAATGATGGTGGAACTACGAGGGATGTCATTTAAGTTTTGCATATGGAAATGACTTTATTGTTTTTCGAAGTATTCTCCACGAAGAATAATACACATCTGCATGCGCTCGAACCAATTTTTGAAGCACTTATCCCACTCGTTTGCTGGCAGATCCAAAACGGCATTTTTGAATGCGTCAACTGCTTCTTCTGGTGACTGGAACGTTTGACCACGCATGTTTTTAATTTGTGAGAAAGTAAAGAAATCATTAGGACTTAGATCGGAACTATATGGAGGATGGTCCAATAATTCCACGTTTTCTTCCGTTAAATATTGCCTTGTTTTTTGGGCCGTGTGCGAGCTTGCATTGTCTTGGTGGAGGATGATTCTTCTTTCGGGGTTGATTTTTCGAAGCTCGGTGATGACCTTTGGCAAGCAAATGATGGTACAAGAAACCGCAGTAACAGTTCTTTGCTTATTAAGAGGAATTGTGGTAATAAGTCCCGCTTTCGACACAAATGTCACGACCATATTTTTCGAAACACTTCGAGAACGGATGACTTGTGTTGGCTTTTCTTCACCTTGGAACACCCAAACAGCCGACTGTCGTTTAGTTTCTGGTTCATAACAGTAAATCCACGATTCATCACCACTAACAATGCTGTACACATTTTTTGTGTTTCCGGAATCGTCCCTAAAACTCACCCGTCCACGTTTGAATTCTCCATACCAACGGGAAATTGTCGACTGATGTGGCACTTCGTTGCCGAAAACAGACAATAACTCAGCAAGGCATTCTTGTTGCGATAATTGTCTCTGAAAGTTGTAATAAATTATGGCGCGAAAATGCTCTCGGTTGAGTTCCATTTTTCTAATGACTTGGTGACACTTAAAAATTCACTGTAGTGAGAACACTGCACTTATTGTTGTGAAACCTTGAATTTAAGTTTACTAAAGAGTGAGGTTAAGATTCAGTACTGACGTTCGATCCGCGCGGCCTACCATGTTTCTATATGCAAAACTTAAAAGACATCCCTCGTATAAACAAAAAAACGAGAAAACATAGAAAAGTTCCTGAACATTTTTGAATGTCTGTGGACTAACTGTATGAGCCTCTTTGACTGACTTGATCCATATAAATTATTTTCGTAACTAACGTTCTTCTCAGAGGGTCTTTTGTGCTGAACAAAATCCTCTATGAACTGATGATGAGTCACCCTACTTGACGGCATTTTATTAACGTTGCAATTACGTTTCCAATACCGTACCACTTTTGACTCGATCAAGTAAGGCACCTCAAGTAAAGCGAATACTTGAATTATATAATATTGAACTTGAACCAAATCCATCCTTAATGTTCCTTTCTAATGCCTAAGTGCAGTACCCCTTTGCACCGACGACGTTCATACCTTAGATCTTATGAGGCGGATGTCCAATTTCGTGATGACAGGTCAATTCTTGTTTTGTAGTCGGCTTTGTAGCGGAGTTGTGGTCACAAAACAAAGTAAAGGAAGAGGGTAGTTTTGGTTGACAAATTATCAAGGGTGCAGCCACACTCAATCGAATATCAGTCCAGAAAGAATGTATTCTGTATCCATACCAAGCGTTCGAATATTTTTTATTTTCTAGTTCAATTTTCTTGAGTCCGTGAATATTGATCTACCAAACTCGTTGCAATATCAATAAATAATAAATTTCTTGCAATTACTTGGATCAGGGGTCTAAGGGAATACAGTGCCTGTTATAAAGTTTCTTCCTCTAGGGCTTTACAAAAAAATTATTGAATCAGTAACTGTACAATTTCAATAATAAACGCGATGTAAAATATACTTATTTTGGTCAAGATATTATGTAAAATGAGCTATTTAAACCCATCCCCGAATTTCATAGATAAGATAGTAATTCTCACACATATACATGTTACCGGTAATCTGTATAATTCAGGTATTCTATACAATACCTAGGCAATGTATAGAATACCTGGGTAGCCCAGGCATTGTATGAAATATTATGAATATTATTATCCATTACATACTTTACCTAGGTAATGAATATAATTCCTAGGGATTGTATAGAGTACCGGCAATGTGTAAAATAAATAGATCTTGATCTAAATTTATCAATGTTAACCGGCATACCTAGAAAATGACGGACAAATGAAATAAGTTATATTACTTAAAATTAACTTCATTAAAATTAACAATTAGACTGGTCTTTAAAAATAAGATTTATGAAAAGGGTACAAAAAAGCACCGTTCTTTATTTTTACATGCTGAACTATTTGAACATTTTGAAGTGCACAACATCTTAATTTAAAGACAAAAACACTTTTTATTATCGCAGTATTTTTTGCAACTGCGTCTTTTACATACATTACCGGCTGCGCATTCGGTATTGTATAGAATGCCTAGGCAAAGTATAAAACAAGTAATATTTAACACATTACCTACAAGTTTTAGGTATTCTATTACATTACCTAGGTATTGTATAGAATACCGGATTATACAGATTGCCGGTAACATACACACAACAAAATTAAAAATGAAACAATGATAAAATGATTAGATGGATAGTTAGAAAACGAATACAAGGTTCTTGATGTGTTCGATTATCAGAAAGGCAAAAACAAAATATAGCGAACTCTCCCTTTTACTTCAAACTGTGGGAGCCAAACATTAATTCAGCATTACGCACATCTTGCACTGATCAATATACCAAAAAAGGTATAACTAGACACAGATTAATAGGAAAGGTATTTCTAAATACTAAGAAATCTAAGCTACTTATTGCCTTTTTGTTGATAAATATGTGATGGTGCTTACTTTGTCTTGATAAAACTAATAATGTTGTGGTACATGATACCGAAATTTACTATCTCTGTTCTCTCGCTTACTGCATTATTGTGCTTTTTGATTACCAACATTTCCTCAAAAATCCGTTTTTTTATAACTACTATTTCTACATAGGACCTCGCAAGTGTCAAAATTAAACACATGACATTCTGACATTTGAGACGCATGTTTTTAGAATATTTCTCGTAAGCAATCATAGAGGTACCTAAAATGGATATCCTGCCGTAAGCGTCCAAGGCGTTCACCGGTATAGAGCCCTGAGGGTATCTGGTATTGGTAAATGTGGCATATACTCCATAAACTCGTATCAAAAGTAGATTCGCACACGGCGGCCATTTCATTTTTGTTGAAATACGCACAAAGTGCCTTTGCCGCGTTTAGTTTCATTTGGAATGCGTTCTTGTTAGTTACGTCACGGTCTAGTGAAACTGCCTCTCTTTGGTAAATATGACACTCTTACTATTAGTTAGCTCGATCATAATCACGATATCTCCGCAGCTGAGAAATCGCCACGCATCCGGTGGGGATGGTCTTTTCACTATTCGTTAGCGCGTAATCTCAGTAACATATGTACTTACATATATGTACAAAGCAGCAAGTATGAATCGATTACTGGTTCCTTGGGCTGTTTTTATCAATCTGTACCTCACTAAGCACCATCTGCCTGACTATCGTTTGAATAACAACCGATTTGCCTTCGCTTACATGCTTACTAAAATTGTCAGCAGTGAGACGTTCGCCAAGAGACAATTCCAGTTAGCTTCCTATACTTCTTCTTCAAAACGTGGCTATAGATATGGGCTCTACCACGTCCTCCTTGCGATGTAATTAGCAGAATAAGGGTACAAAGACTTTGTTTACCTTATCAGTGGTGTGTGTTACGCTTTCCGTCATTTCAAGATCTTTGTCGAGTCTAAGTACTTAAGCGCACTTTGGTTTCGAATCTTATCATTCCCAACCCATACCATAGATGTAGATGCACTATACATTCATCATTTTCCATAAACATAGTGGAATTCAAAATGTTCAATTTTTTACTAATAAAACCAAATTTTTATAGACGTACTTACTTCGAAATGATGCTATATTAAACTTTTAGTGAGTCAGTCTACTTGATTGCGCTATTTCAACCATTACTTACTATTTATTCACACATTCAAAATGTTCAATTTTTCACTAATAAAACCAAATTCTTATGTACTTCACGTCTCATTTCGAGACGAATGCTTGAGTGAGTCCATCTACTTCATTGTGCTGTTTTACTCATTACTTTGGATTTATTATACTGAGTGTTACATAATGCCTGCTTGTAAGTGCGAAGGCCAGTTCTGCAGTTTGACACCGTTATCGTTCGTCGACATCGTGATAGCTCGTTATTTTTTATTATGGTATGGACAAGAGCTGATGAAATCCTATGCAGGTGTTTTAGATCGATCACATACGTGTGCGAAAATCCTATGCAGCTCAGATTGCATTCAACTGTTTCCTAGATTTCAATACTCCAGGAGATTTCCAATTAGCGTGAATGTTCACTCAACTGTAGAGTGGACCGATCTAGTTTCATGTCGTTGTTCTTAACATCACAAAAGCTTTGGATCAGCTATGGCACGTGGCCCTCTTATGCAAACTTTAATTCTATGGCCTCCCAGAGAAGCTTTGCAGATGGCAGTCATTTGATGGGATAACACGACGTGACTCTATATCCAGGAAATACTGGAACCCCATTCTAAACGCTAGAAAACCCTATCTTCTAAAAAGGCAATGGGTGTCTCCATATTGTCAACTTCTCCCACTTCCATGGCCTCCTAGATCTCCGGATCCTTAACCCATTGAACACGAACATGACCCCTTTACCTCATCTTCCACAAACGTTAACAGCTTTTCGGAACCAAGCACAGCTAGTTCAAGAGACATAAATCTTTCATAAAACTTTGTCACTACTTCCTCTTGTTCATGCATATATCTGCAAGCCACAATTTGTGATTCTTTAATGGCGAAATATCAAAGCATCCTGACTTCCAGTTGAACGTTTTTGCAGGATTATTTATTTATTAGTATTTGTCACTACTTCCTCTTGTTCAAGCATATATCTGCAAGCCAAAATTTGTGATTCTTTAATGGCGAAATATCAAAGCATCCTGACTTCCAGTTGAACGTTTTTGCAGGATTATTCTCAGCTTATGTTTATCACTAACCATCTATTCTCTGCGGTGACATGACCGGAGGTGACGAGATCGTCCATAATTTTGGCTCTATGAACGTCAAACTTCAATTGCTTTCAATCGCTCAGTATTTGCATTTGTATTTAGCAGTTTTTACGGAATTTCTGCTGTCTGTCACTAGACATAAATCTTATGGAGTCCGTAAATACGATATAGTTGTTTGTACTATATTGGGTATCCGGTGTCATCGTATTTTTCCAAAAAAATTCAGTATTGACCCAACAGATTGCTATATATTTACACATACTTAAAATATTAATGATAACATCTCATTACAAGCTTTATATGTTAGAAGAAGGATAAAATACTGTTTCGTAAATAGGTTCTCTGTATTTTGTGCTAGTGGAAGCTTTGTCAGACAAATTGACACCTTAAGTACATTGTACGTTCTTCCTAGGGACTTCTTAGAGCTATATCTTTATAATATATAGTAGAAAACACCAGCTTTATCACTCCTTTGCAGCATAAAAATAACACATGTTGCAATTACAGCATATCAACCTATTTTCATTTCAATGCAAAATAAGTCTATAACGCATAGGTGGCTGTGAAAAATAAAAGCCATGACAATTGTTTTTATTAATCACAGCTGTCAGAATACGTTTAAAATAGTTTTGGGTAGTGAAGTTTTTCAAAATGGGTAGAGGAAGGTTATTAGTGAGAAAATTCGGTTACTGATAATTAAATTTTTTAATTCTGGAAAATCAAACTCAGAAATTGCAACTGTGTTAGACTTATGGCGGTACAGTGTGAGAAATATTGTTAGAAGATATAACGTAACTGGTTCAGTTAATATTAAGCCACGATATGTGAAAAAAGTAATATCACAAATGCCGACCGAAGAGCATTAAGAAGAATATCGAGAAAAACAGGCGTGCCAATTATTTACAATTAAGTGCTCTGTGGAGTGACGCTGTTAGAAGGAGAATTTCGAGGTCCTCAACTCATAGAGAGGCCCTCAAACTGGGATTTAGCACTTGCAAGGTCAGTTTTCTTATAAAAAAGTGAAGTAAAAACCCTAAAGTTGCACAACTTGTTTATAGGCCAAAGAAAAGCTACTATTAACTCCACTGCAAAAGAAAAATCGGCTTAGATGGGCTAAAGAACATAGACAATGGACACCTCAACAATGGTGTGCAATACAATGGAGTGATGAGGCCCGATTGGAAGTTTGTGTTGGTGACAGTCGCAGTAGAGTTATTCGCAAAAAAAATGAAGCATTCCATGTTGACTGTCTGAAGAGAAAAGTGGAATTTCCAGCATCCATTATGGTCTGGGGCAGTATGTCATCAAAAGGAGTAGGAAACTAAATGACTCAACTTTGAAAACACCCTGAATAACATCCAAAACATATAATGCCTCAGGTCTGAAACTCTTTACCAGTCGCTTAAGAAGTAAAAGAGTTACGGCTTGGTCTGATAATATGAACGTAGAAGGCTAAAAAAAGAAGGTAGGTGACGTGACAAATTCATCGCTGAAGCTTCCGAAATCATCAAAACATGCATTAACGGCTAATCATAATAATGAGTAATTATTCTCTACTAATATCCAAACATAGTTGTAGTTGTAATCGCTAATAGTCTGTCGTCATTGTGTATATCGGATGTGATTTTCTTAATAAACCATTTAATGGTTTTCTGAAATTCTTCATTTCAGAATAATTCGATTCTAATTGTAGACTTACGACGTGTAACCTAAATACTTGTGTTCGGCTGTTGATAACTGGATAACGGTTGCGTCATCACAAAAGGTGCAACTGATTGGGGTGCAATTCTTTCTTGAAAGAGATAATATTTGATAGAAACCGCCATTTTGACAGTTAGCGACCGAGATTCTCCATCCGAGTGCATTTTCCAGCATGTCTTAGCGATCATAAGTAGTCCATTTGGTACGACCTGCTGTAACGTCCGAAACGTACTTTGCACTTACGAATTGCTTGGAGTGAGGGCACAAACAAAACTTTCATCATATCAAAAAAATAATTCGACAATAACTACAGACATCGATCATCTCATTTTGTCGATGCCTAGACGTATACGAGCCCCTTCCCACTTCAGTTGGCCCACTTCAAGATTTGTACCAAAATATGCCTTCATAAACTAAACATGACGAAACTATTTACTTCTAAAACAATTTATTTTATAATAATAATAATAATATAAAAATATGTACATGGTACATACTGAAAGTGGGACTCAACTGGCGAAGTTTAGCAATGCTACTCTTACACTTAACCAGCTGAATCAATAATACAGTGATGTTAAATAAATTAAAAACATATATATACATACACATATATACATATTCACATATATATATATACATATACACATACCCATATATACATATATATCATGCGCCTAAAAATAATATTAGCTTCTCAACGTAATAAATATAAAGTCTGATTGGATGATGAATGTGGAAAGTATAGTATCAGTCCAGCATCCTGATCCTTACATGCTTACGAAAACTTGCTAAGCTCATACATTTAAAGGAATATTCCAACGAATTATATAGAACTGCCGAATTATAAGAAAAACTGCGGGTGAATAAGACTGTAGAGTTAGCCGGAATTCTGATACTCAACGTATCTCTAAGCAACCGATCATGAACAACAAAGTTAAATAGATTTTTTTCTCTCAAGTAGGCGGGCTTTGAAGTGGTTATTACTTTGTGAATAAATGTGATGGTGATATTCGAGCAATTTATCAAATTTGAGCCATTTCAGCGTCCTGTATTTCTCCGATACATGGTCAAATTTTCTCAATCCACATATAAAACAGACACAATTATTCTGTATAATTTGAATTCTATTTTTCGTTATTTTGTCAAGGTATGGGAAATAAAGGATGTTACAGTAGTTCAAACAAGGCATCACTAGCGTTTCACACAGTTTTTTCCTGAGCTTATAGTTCAGTAAGTACCTACAAGAATACAAAGTGCGTAGGCGGAGGTAGGTTTTTTGAGCAAGACAGTTGATATGATTATAAAACCTTAACTTCTCATCAACCTCGACACCTAAAATCTTGGCAGTAGTACCAACCTGAAGAAGATTTCTGTCAATAAAGATATTAAGGTTACCTTTGACGTAGTTTCTTTTATTATCAGAACAGAAAACTATGGTTTTTGACTTCTCAGGATTAACTAATAAATTATGATTGGCTGAATATTTGCAAACCATGTCAATATCATGTTGTAGCTCTATATTAGCTGTTGGTAATTCACTAGCTTTAAAATAATGTACTATTTGGGTATCGTCTGCAAAAGATTGCATTTCAGAATTTTCCATTACTTCATATAAATCGAAGGTGTAGATGAGGAATAAGAGAGGACCTAGGATAGAACCCTGAGGCACTCCAGATGGTATGACACTTGGGACAGAGCTCTGTCTAGATAAAGAAACTTCCTGAACTCGGTCGGTTAAATACGCACAGAAAAATTTAAGTGAGGTATTATCAAAGCCAATATATTTCAATTTAGCTAGAAGAAGGATATGCTTGATTCTATCAAATGCCTTAGAGTAATCAACCGATATCAAAGCTACTGTGATCTTTTTATCAAGCGCACGTAGCACATTGTCGCATAGATTTAATAAGGCAGCTGTTGTACTATAGTGTTTTCTGAAACCAGACTGATTAGTGGATAAGATTTTGCATTCTTCAATGTAAGCAGTTATTTGAATCTGAACGATCTTTTCTAAGATTTTTGATAACACCGGCAATAAACTTATTGGTCGTAAATCTGAAAGCTTCTCAAACACATTTTAGATACACTCTAGACGTTGAAAATACATATATGAAATCACTTACACCTATAACTAATAGAACATCTGAACAAATAAACAATGTGCGAATAAATGCGCGAAGTTAACAAAGCAACAATTGAAAGATTACCATTGGGTAACATCACCTTTATTTTTTATTACGGCTGAAATTCTTTGGGGCATAGTGTGAACCAAGTTTTGGCAAAAATTTGGTGTAAAATAATCCCTTATTTCTTGAAGCTATTGTCTCAGTTCGGTGATTGTACGAGCAGGATGTTGTTGTAGAACCTTTTTCATCTCATGCCACAAAGTTTCAATAGGTGACAGATCTGGACTGCTAGAAACGCATTCCAAAAGTGGTGCATTATTTTCTTCCATCCATTTTATAACCTTTTTTGAGGTATGGCACGCTGTACCATCTTGCTGAAACACAAAATCTTGGCTGGATGTCAAACATTCTTCCATCACTGGTAAAAGCGATTCTTCTAAAATTGCCAAATATTTGTTTGTATCCACATTTCCAATCAATAAAATCAAGTTTTCCTACTCCTTTTGATGACATACTGCCCCAGACCATAATGGATGCTGGAAATTTCACTTTTCTCTTCAGACAGTCAGCATGGAATGCTTCATTTTTTGGCGAATAACTCTACTGCGACTGTCACCAACACAAACTTCGAATCGAGCCTCATCGCTCCATTGGATTCAACACCATTGTTGAGGTGTCCATTGTCTATGTTATTTAGCCCATCTAAGCCGATTTTTATTTTGCAGTGGAGTTAATAGTGGCTTTTATTTGGCCTATAAACAAGTTGTGCAACTTTAGGGTTTTTACTTCCCTTTTTTTCTTAAGAAAACTACCTTTCAACTGCTAAATCCCAGTTTGTGGGCCTCTCTTTTGAGTTGTGGACCTCGAAATTCTCCTTCCAACAGCGTCACTCCACAGAGCACTTTGTTGTAAATAATTGGCACGTCTGTTTTTCACGATTATTCTTCTTAATGCTCTTCGGTCGGCATTTGTGATATTACTTTTTTTCACATATCGTGGCTTAATATTCACTGAACCAGTTACGTTATATCTTCTAACAATATTTCTCACACTGTACTGCGATAAGTCTAACAAAGTTGCAATTTCTGAGTTTGATTTCCCAGAATTAAAAAATTTAATTATCAGTAACCGAATTTTCTCACTAATAACCTTTCCTCTACCCATTTTGAAAACCTTAACCACCCAAAACTATTTTAAACGTATTCTGACAGTTGTGATTAATAAAAACAATTGTCAAGGCTTTTATTTTTCACAGCCACCTATGCGTTATAGACTTATTTTGCATTGAAATGAAAATAGGTTGATATGCTGTAATTGCAACATGTGTTATTTTTATGCTGCAAATTTGATTAGGGAGTGATAAAGTTGGTGTTTTCTACTGTATATTATCAAAATATTCATTGTTAATATTTTAAACCTATAACACCCAGCTACATTTTTATTATTTGTGTTTGATAAGAAAAAAACTAAGAGTTCAATAGTTGGGCCAACTGAAGTGGGAAGGGACTCGTATAGTTTACCTTCTCGATCTCGTTATCTTGAACTCGATCTGCTTCTCTCATCAGCCTTGGTCGCAATTGTTGTGATATAGATGTGAAATGACTCGAGTGAGTCCACTTGTACTGAAGGCAGATCACGTGTTTCCCTATTTCCCCTCCAAGCCCGGCGCCTCCAACACTTTGCCAATCTCATTAATTTACAGACATCGTATACGAATGAATGTATCGCTACTGCGCAAAATCAAAACGAAGCAGCAAAGCAAAAGCGCTAAAAGCTCTCTATTGAAATCCCATACCAAGTACCAGCTATCTATTTCGGCTGTTTCCCAACCAATTTTCTTGCCAGTCCCGGTATATTTAACTAAAAAAACACCCTGTTACGAAATTTGTGAGTCAGCATCAAAGTTCCGCCAAGAACAGTGAAGTGGAAGTAATTTAATAATTGTATGTACTGTTAACTATCACGCTTATAGGTGGAGCATTGTTACAATGATTATGTGATAACGTACACGTACTAAAAAGTTATTGGTTCAGTGGTGTTTTGTGTTGGAGACAATGCCTTTTTTCCGACCATTTTGACGTGATCACATGTGGCGCGTGCAGTTATATCCGCGTGCTGGTGGGATGTGAAGAAAAAACGGAAGCTTTCGTATAGCTGATTTTGGTTCCTTGTTACTGCAATTTGGACTTCAGGTACGGCTCTTTCGTAAAACGAACGTCTTAAATCTTTTAACATAAATGATGTTTACACTTTTTAACATGTTCTTTTATTAACGCCTTTATTAGTTTATAGCTAAATATATGGAATTTTTAACGCAAATTGGTTTAGATTTTAGATTTACTAGAGTTAAATCAATATGAGATGCAATTTTGGGTATAGAATTAAAGATGCAATCTACGAGAACCTCAATGAAACTATACTTTCTATATGTAACCTTGTCAGCTTATAAATAGCTTCCGATTCTGATCAGATTCACTGTCGTGTGAGAATACACTTATACAGGGTGACTTTGAAGTTGAGTCATTAATTTTCAGATAATGATTGTAGAAGGAATATAAACCAAAATATGTGTGTAAAAATAAAAAAAAAATAAAAAAAAAATTTTTACCTTGTTTTATAAAGTATCCTCCCGACAAGTATTTCAGTGCGGACCTGTATTTGATCGTGAGGTCCCCTGTGAGGTCTTAAGTCACCTGATTCACGAGCCCGTTGTACTACATTAACAAATGCACGAGGGGTTGGTTGCACTCGATTGGGAAACCGATCCGCATAAGCATGTGCCATTTTTTATTTCGTTTGAGCCACGCAACAGATACAACTATTCACTGACACTTACTGTATACAAATGAATGAAATAATTCGTTCCAAATTCTTTCGCTTTTTTGTTTCCGATGCGATGAACCGATACGACGGATTATATCCGTTGTCGCCAAACACGAGCACATTGAGACAGGGCGGTACTCAAACTTCCAAAGGGCTATAACTTTGTTACTTTAATTTTACCAGAAAAATGGTAAAGGAAAAAACATTTCTTTTGATCAGATCTACTCACTGTTAAAATAAATGACTCAACTTCGAAGTCACCCTGTATATTAATTGGGAAGTAGATTGTAATAACAAATCCTCAGAAGACGAAATGAGAGTTTCGCTTTTTCTACCCAACATTGGCTGATTGCATACATTTAGATTAATTTTGTTGATGCTACCCAGGACTTCCTCCCTCAATGCATACGTTTTTGCGAGCCTCTTTGAACATATTAAAAATAGTTATTTATTATACAAGGGAAAAAAGTATTAGATTTTAGCTTGAGTATTTATCCCGTGTATATTACACAATTTTTTTCTGCGACGGGAATAACGACGATTTAATATTGAAAAATTATTATATTATTACAATATTTAAGTCAGAAAATTGTCGGTGTGAAATTAGCAGGCTATGTTGTACTTATAGCGACAATTAGACCTGCGTTGCTAAGGAAACTTTTAACGTAATCAAATAGCTGTCAATTTAATTTTGTGATTTGATTTAAAAATTGTGAACTTAGTGGTTGTTTAGAAGTTATTTTTAATACTATGAAGTAAAAAAATGTCTGATTCCTTCTGATTAGTAGAAGTAGCCAAAGTAAGGTCACAAAAATTATTGCCAGCTAAGGCCCGTATCGTCAGTCGTCCCTACAATTGTAGGGCGCGTTTATGGCCTCCTTGATTGTCATACTTCTTTCTCTCCTTCAAAAATTTCTAGATTACGCTTGTCCCGTATCAGCGTCAGCGCTCTCCTAATGTGAAGATCTGTTTTCTTTTTAAATTGTAGGAAATTTCAGGCTGATAAAACATGATATAACTTAAAAGCAAGCACAACTTGATGCAAATAGGTGTTTATGACATAACCTCAAAATAGAGCGCTGACACGGAGAAGTAGAAAACTATGACAATCAAGGAGGCCATCAAGGCGCCCTACAATTGTAGGGACGACTGACGATACGGGCCTTAATCGCGGAACATTTACGAAACCGCGTATTCAAGATTCATGGAATAGAAGATGAAAAAAATATGCAGTTCTTTGCCGGAGACGATGTTATTGGCTTATTTTTCGGAATTGGCACAACAACAGTGTGGTCGAATTATTCAATGACTAAAAGTATGTTACGATCCAATAATAATGTAGACATTTCAAAATATTTGTAATTACATTTCTGAAACAAAATGAGAAAGGTTACAAGCCCAAGAAAGCTGCGATTTTTATGAGTACACAAATTAGTGTTTTTTTAAATAATGCTCCCGATGAAGTTTATCTAATGGTCAAGGTTGTTGTTGTATTTGGGATTGCAGGAGTTTGTCGAATTTGTGAAATCAGCCAGGTAACATTAGATGATGTTGAAGATTCGGGAACGTTATTAATTGTGAAACTTAAGGAAACAAAGAATGATGTAAACAGGAGATTTGTAGTTATTGAAAAATATATTAAATTTTACGTTCGTCCAGCAGCAGCAAAGGATCATATACAGGTCATTCATTTCGAAAATCGTCTGCTACACTTTTAGTTGAATCTGGGGGAGACTTGATGACACTAAAGAAACATGGAACCAATGCACATTTAATAATTGTATTTTTGATATAAAGGAAATGTAACTTTATTGTATAATAAAATATTCTAAAATTATTTGCTTATGTGTTTATACAATATCCGGGAAAAAAGTAATTTCTTAAACAGTGACATTTTGTTACCTGTCAACAGAGAGAAAATCTCAAACTTTAACCTGTCACAGAAAAAAAGTTTCAAGGATCTTTTCAGGGCAGAATATAGCAATTGGATTTTATAATAACGAAGTTTTTGATTAACTTTCAAAGTTTATAATAATAATAGTAATAATGACGGAAAAAGCCCCAAAAACCGATCTTGACTAGGGTTATTGCTATATCGGGCGTTTCAAATTCGACCTTCATCATTGGGATCTCGGAAAATGGTTTTTACTTTTGTCTGGCTTTATTTGTAGTGGAATTTTAAAATAAATTGCTCATTAACGCAACACAGAGTTTGTTTATGTAAAATAAAGGAAAGAAAGGCAAAGATAGTCGCCATCAGCAGCAGACATTTGCTAACCTTGAGCGTTTACTTCATGCTATAACCAGAGTAAGCATGTCTGCATGCATTACATGCAGATAATAAGTTCAGCATCCCCATCTGAATTTCATTTCCAAACAAGCAGGTTAGCCTTGGTTGACTTAATTGCAAATGGTAGAGACAACAAAAATTCATTTAACGATGACTGCTAAATTGTATAGGTAAAATCTCTAAAGATACATTAATCTTTTTTTTTTTAAAACTCACTTCAGAAACGCACCCTGAGATTGTCTGCCTAATAGACCCTATTGACACTCATGCGAATGATAAGGTTCGCTTGTCATGCAAATCGTAGGACTTCTGTCAGTTCTGTATAGTAAAATAAAAGAAACGTACAGAAAACAAAAAAGTAAATAACGCACATCAGTATATGACAGTCACAAATAAACAAAGATTGAAATATAACATAAAAATAGACAAACATTTAACTGAAACAGACATTTTGATAATGTGGTAGAAACAAATTAAAAGATTGTTCTGATTAGATAGATAAATAAATAAAACTGATAATATTCAAAAAACATAAAATACGGTGTCCGTTTTACTTAGTTTGAATTTGACTACTGGTGATAGCGGTACGGCCTAGCGTGCGTTCATTGTTTACTATTTATTCATTGTGTATTAAGTATAGTATCTAGTAATGTCATCACAAACTCTGAAGCGAAAGCACAAAACATTGACAATTAAAGAAAAATGTGACATTTTAGACCGCTTAAATCGCAATGAAACTTTCAGTAGTTTAGCAAGTGAATACGGCGTAGGCCGATCTACAATTTATGACATTAAAAGAAACCACGAGAAGATCAAGAAAGTAGAAGAAGCTTTGTACATGTGGTTTCTTCAGGAAAGAAATAGGCATGCACTTTTTTCAGGATCCATGTTGGCCATGAAAGCCAAGTTTTTTTATAAGGAAATAACAAAAAAAATATGATTTTGTGGCCAGCAAAGGATGGCTAGAACGTTTTAAAAGTCATCATGGCATACGTTTAATGACTATTACAGGAGAGAAACTTTCTAACGATGCCACCTGCCCTTTAAATTAAGATTTTTGCAAAAGTTGAACGACTTAAATCTGACCCGTCACAGGTGTACAATGCAGACGAATCAGGGCTTTTTTAGCGTGTAATGCCTAACAAAACTTTCGTTTCTTGTAACGAAAAATCCGTACCTGGACGAAAAGTAAGTAAAGAGCGTGTAACCATACTACCATGTGCTAACGCTGCGGGCACACACGCGCTTAAGATGATGGTCATTGGGAAATCCAATAAACCACGGGCATTCAAAAACGTTGATTTACCTGTACACTATTACGGACAAAAAAGTGCATGGATGACAACAGACCTTTTCAAAAAGTGGTTTGATGAATGCTTCGTACCTGAAGTTAGAAAATGGTTAAAAGATCATAATTTTCCTCAAAAAGCGTTGTTGCTTCTTGATAACGCTCCCGGTCACCCGTCTGAAGAAGAACTAACAACTGAGGATAAATGCATCGCTGCGATGTTTCTTCAGCCAAATTGTCCTGCTCTGATTCAACCAATGGACCAGAATATCATTCAGTTTGTCAAGCAAGACTTTAAGAAAAACCTACTTCTGAGAGCCGTATCAAAAGACCAACCAATAGAAAAAACTTTAAAAGAATTTAATATGACAGACTTGGTTTTTGCTCTTTGTCAGTCGTGGAATGCGTTACCGTCATCCACTATTAAATAGTCTCGGAAAAAGTTATGGCCAGATATAGTCACCACTCCTATCAACGTTCCACAAATCAGTGTTACTTTGGAAGTTATAGAACAAGTCGTTACTGAAACACAGATAAGTCAGGAAGATTTGGAAATCTGTACCGTGGAATGGATAAAGAGGAAAATGTTTTTCATGAAATGTCTAACGAAGAGATTATAAAAGAGGTTTCTAATTATACAACAAACAATCAGGAAAATAACGACGACGTGATCGCAACTGCTCCACAAGTTACAGCACAAGACACAATTAACGCCTTTGAGCTAGGTTTACAATGGGCTGAAGAGAATGGTACATCCTACAACGAACTTTTACTTTTGAGAAGACTGAGGG